TCAAGGTCTTTCAGATCGTATCGCGGGGAACTCTATCATATGACTTCTCAAGGTCAATGAACGCCATGTGAAGATCTCTATTTTTCCCCTATATTTCTCCATAAGCCGTCGGAGTAGATGAATTGCTTCCGTAGTAGACATGCCTGGCATAAATCCAAATTGGTTTTCCGAAACCCTAGTAATCTGTCTCAACCTAGCCTCTATTACTCTTTCCCATAGCTTCATGGTATGGCTGAGTAGTTTAATACCTCTGTAGTTGCCACAACGTTGGGGATCTCCTTTATTCTTATAGATTGGTATCACCGTAGACTCTCTCCACTCCTCTGGTATCTTGGTAGTCTCTAATATAATATTAAAGATGTCGGTCAACCACTTAACACCCTCTTCTCCTAGAGCCAACCATACAGTGATAGGAATTTGATCTGGACCGACAACTTTGTCCCTCCCCTTTTTTCTAAGAGCCATTTTGACTTCCTCAAACCCAATCCTACTTGTAGGGCAGTCATTGGCCGTAGTATGATGGTCGGCTAACCCATCAACGATACTATCTCTACTGGGAGAGGCACCGTCATTAAATAAGCCAAAGAAGTAACTACCCCAAACCCTCTTAATATCATGATATTTCACTAAAAGAACACCATTGTTGTCCTTAATAAACCTAATGCTACTTAGATCCTTTTTCTTATTTTCCCTGGATTTTGCTAGCATGAAGATGTCGTTTTGTCCTTCCTTGGTGTCTAATCTCTTGTACATTTCCTCATATGCCTTATTCTTTGCTTTAGCCACCGTTTTCTTGGCTTCCCGCTTTGCCTCCTTGTATCTTTGTTTAGCTCTCGATCTTTCTTCGTCATCATTGCATTATAGATACTCCTTGAAGCAAGTTTGCTTTGTCTTCTTAGTTTGGACTTCATCGTTCCACCACCACGATTCCTTATGCTCCTTGACCTTCCCTGTCGACAACCCAAGGGTTTTTTTCCCCACCTTTCTGATGCAATTTGCCATATTTTTCCATAACATATCTGCATTATTTAAGTTCATAGTTCCAAAACATGTATTAGACAAAACCTTACTCATAAAGTCATCAGTTGTCCCTCCATGTAAGTTCTTCTAAAGGATCTTAGGTTTACCAAGTGTAGCCCTCCTATGAGTGCTCCGGCCGTGGCGTACGCGGAACACCAAAACCAATAATATGTGTTGTGATGCACATGACTCTTCAGGGAACACCTTACAGTCAATGCAAGCCCATCGATCTCGATTTCGAACCAGGATGTAGTCGATTTTGGTACAATGTCCCCCGCTATTGAACGTAATCATGTTCACATCTCTCTTGTTAAAGAAAGAGTTAGTGACCACCATATATAATATAATATTCCCAAAACATACATGATATTTAGAAAACCACGACCCAGAAAAGAAAAAGAAACTCAATTGAACCTCAAGGGAGGTAACCACGGTTATTCAAATGACAAAATTAAAAAAATCCCTTTTCCTTTTTGATCTCTCTGGTATGGTTATGGCTTGAGGATCTCACTTGGCACTGGCGAGTTGGGTACAGAGCAGCTTGGTGGCAGTAACCATGTTGCTGAGGGCGGGTTTCACCTCAGCATACCTGCGAGTCTTGAGCCCACAGTCAGGCTTAACCCACAAGATGTTGGTCTCAAGCACCGCAAGCATCTTGTTAATTATGTCAGCAATCTCTTCGGTTGATGGTATTCTGGGAGAGTGGATGTCATACACACCCGAACCAATTTCAGCAGCATACTTCACTCCTTCACGGAACACTAACAGAAACTTCTCGTCCGAACGAGATTTCTCAATGGCTATCACATCAGCATCCATATCGATAATCGAGTGGATGATATCATTGAAGTTGGAGTAGCACATGTGGGTGTGGATCTGTCGGATTTTATCGACGAGGTGAATGAGAATTATGGTGATCATAGAAACGAATTCGAGAACTGAAAAGGGTGAAACAATATACAGACTTGGGTAGTGTCTTGAACACCACAGTTGGTGATTCTAAAGGAGTGGACAACCCATTTTAAGTAGAAGTCATGCTCAGACTTCCTAAGAGGCAACCATTCTCTCAAAGCAGCCACATCAATTTGGATAACATTGATCCCAGCCTTATCAAGATCCTCCACTTTGTCCTTGATGGCCAAGGCAATCTGGTAGCAAGTTTCGAATCTGAAAAATTACAAATCATAGAAGGTCAAACCGTATCCATATTACAAGATAAAATGGGCGGGAGAAATGCACAACCATAAACATTTTCTATTCATAGGCTTTCTCGTTCATACCTAGGTTGATCATTTCTCACAAATGACCAGTTGAGAATGGTGACAGGTCCAGTAAGCATTCCCTTCATTGGGCGTATAGTCATGCTTTGGGCTGTGGATGACCAGAAAACAGTCATTGGGTTGGGGCGGCTAACATCACCATAGATGATTGGTGGCTTGACACAACGAGATCCGTAAGATTGCACCCACCCGTTAACAGTGAAAGTAAAACCAGATAATTGCTCACCAAAGCACTCAACCATATCATTTCTCTGCACAATTTCAAGTAATACTAAGGAAGCTTGTCGTTAACCATAAACGAATCTCCCATTTACTGCAAAAGGGTCGATACCAAAAAGAATTCTCACCTCATGCTCTCCATGAACCAGAACATCAATGTCAAGCTCTTCTTGAAGATCGACAACCTTCTTAATTTCCTCCTTAATGGCTTTAACATAATCCTCCTCTGAGATCCTAAAGGGAATAAGAGATGTAGTTAAAAGGAATTGTCATTTTCTAGGAAAGAAAACAAGGTAATTCCTTGATTAACTACTCACTTGTTAGCCTTGAATTCACGACCAACTCTCCTGAGTTCCAAGGTTTGAGGGAAAGATCCAATAGTTGTGGTGGGCAGGATTGGTAGCTTAAGCTTTTTATGCTGGGCATCAAATCTATAAGTAACATTTGTAGCACGACGGTGGTCAGAACCCTTCAAAGCAGCAGTATGAGAATGCAATCAAAATCGAACACAGTAAGGAAAGAAAAGAGCAATAACTCGAAAAGAAAAGTTGAAATTTTCATTTATCTTAACACTTGCAGCCTTTTGAACAGTCTCGTTGGTCACCCTTGGGGAGGACTTCCTTGAAGCCTGAGCCAAAGCGTTGGCAGAGAAAAAGGCCTAAAAGAAGATAAATAACCAGTATGTGACATGGTGGTAAGTGAATCTCGTGAAACCACTAAAACCAAAAAGACCCAACCCAAAAGGCTTGAAGCCCGTTCCTAGATGACACCAAGATCTTAGAAAACTAGCGAAAAATAAGTAGCAAAATTTTATGGCAATACCTCATCCTTCTGACCAGTCAATGCCTTGGCAAGTGCATTGACTTCGACAACTTTCTGGGCGGCGAATGCAAACCAGGATTTGATTTCATCGTCTAGCTTAGTTTCATTTACAAGATCAATAGCAGTATGGAGAACCGAGCAGGAGGTGGACACCACAAGGTTGTCTGCACATTGGAAAATTAATACCAAAATAGTGATGTAATATTCACCATAAAATTACTACCCATAAAATGCAATGACAATAAAATACCTTTGCACACAACATCTTCAAGCGCCTGCAAGGTTCTTAGTGAAGAAGCAAGATCATTAGCCCAAATGATCCTTCCATCAACAACTCCAGCAAAGTGCTACTTGCCCTTGGGGAAATTGCTCTTAACCAACTCAATAGTCTGGGTTCCACGAATCAAATCCAAACCATAAGCAGTGACACCCTTCAATCCGATGAGGGTTTTGTATGCCTCAGCAGTGAGATCAGCAAAGTAGGTCTCAATCAGAACATTCAAGCCAGAAAGAGTGGATTCCAGTTCAGCATAAGCAGCGGTAAAAGATTGCAATTGGTGAGAGTCATGATCCAAGACAAGGGTCGGTTCATCAAACTGAATCCATGAGGCACCAGCAGCCTTAAGCTCAGCAATAACTTCACTGTATAGAGATTCAATGTTGTAGTTGGTCTTAAGATATGAAACTTCAGAGGTTTCTCAAAATTTTAGAGACTTCAATAAGTGGAAAAGTGACAACAAAGACACGTCTTGTAAAAAAGATCTAAAAAAATTATAAATTTATGTCGTGTCTTACTATATAATTTATCATTTTTAATACCATCAAGCGTATAAAAGATTACATTTTTTTAAGGAATTTTTTTTGTTAAATTACATTTGTGCAAATTTGATGTAGCCAAGCATGTTTTGTTGGAGGGGTAGGTGAAGTGGGTCCAATGTTATTATATATATTAAAATAAACATATGTTGATGAGATAATCGGCAAAAACTTGATTTTATTCTTTTCCATAAAGAAATATTATGTTTATTAAAATATTTATTAGAATTAAAAAATATATCTATTTTACAATAAATCACTTAATAACTTATGTTTTAATTAAAAACCTTAGTAGGTGTACCGAATTTCAATAAAAATAAAATTAGCATGAAATATTCAAAATAATTTAGAATTTAATTGTTTAATTGTTTTAATAACCACATTAATTTTATCATTAATAAAAATTTAAGAAGAAAAATTATTGAATATGATAAGTAAATAAATATTCACTTATCATTTAATTTTGAAAATATTTTTATTGATTTTATTTATTTTAAAACCTTATATTTGAAATAAATTATCATTTTCTTAAAAAGTGAAATATTAAAATTCTTATGTTCGGATTATATTTAAAATTACTAAAAGTAATGTAAAATAGTGAGATAGTGATCATTTTGTTACAAATCGATAACGTTAATGATCATTTTGTAATTTTTAAAATTTCAACGGTGAAAAAAAACTTATCCAAACTTCAGTAGCTGTTAGAGGTAAATTTAACCTTAGATTAAATATAAATATTAAATTTATAAAAGTAATCGACAACTAGCAACAAAATACATAAATGATACCGACATTATCTTCAGGTGAGAAGATTTTGCTTCAAATCCATTCAAACATGGTATATTACATTTACAGATATCCAATAAGCAAATCGTCAACAGCTATACTTGGAATTCCCTTGGCAAACTTACAATGATAATGTAGTTTATATAAAGATTCAGGTTATGGATTCAATATTTCGGATTTACAGATCTGTATATATTGTATACCCCAAAACCAAAAGAACTCAGATTTGTGAGGAAAACAAAGAAAAAGTTATGTTCAACCATCGTGCCTCCTATATAACTGCCAATGGGAGTGATCTATCGAAGCCACCGTGCAAGCCTCTTGCTCTAGATGGTCTCCTCTTCAATGGTGCTGCCTTAGTTTCCATCTCTTTTCCAGATTTTCCATTTCCATATGGTATCGAAATCGGCATAACTGTAGCTCGTGGCATACCATCTTTTGTTGGAGTGCCATGAATTAGTATCCTGCTAATGCCTGTATAGTGTAATGAATCTGCAATTTGCAGGGCGGTAACACCTTTGTTAGTCCTTGCTTCAACATCTGCTCCCTTTTTTACCAACAATTCTACCACCTCTGTATGACCCGATTCAACGGCACAATGCAAAGCGGTGTATCCTTCTTCATCTTTTGAATTGACTTCGATCCCCTTATTGATCAGCATCCTTACTGCTTCGGTTCTTCCTTTGAACGAGGCTCTATGTAAGGCTGTCCATCCGTGTTGATCTCTTCCATTGATCAAAGCACCGTTTTCGATCAGCCTTTGGATGGATCCCACTTCACCTTTTCGAGCAGCAAAACACAATCTGTCACCAAGCTTGAGTGTGTCGAAAAGACGTACGTGACCATATTCGGCAGCAACATCATATGCAGTTCTGCCTGCCTTGTTCCGAACATCTTTGTTCGCTCCCTTTTGAAGCAACAACCTAACCATCTGCTCGTCACCTAATCCGGCCGCGATGTGTAATGGTGTGTCACCATCTTTCGTATTGCGAACATCTGGTTTCGAGCCATTGGCTAGCAGCAGACGTATGCAATCTTTTTTTCTTTCCTCAACTGCTAGATGTAAGGCAGTATTGCCATCCTTTGCGAGGGCATCAACATTAGCCCCTTGAAGCAAAAGCAGTCGGAGTACCTGGGTATGGCCACCAACTGCAGCTCGGTGAATTGGACCCCAAGTAGATGACTTGGATCGCTCAGTGCTAGCCTTATGCGCCAGTAGAAGTTCAACAATCAGTTCTTCTCCGCACCCTGCAGCTGCCTCAAGCGGGGATGAACCTGACCGATTTTGAAACTCGACATTGGGCTCAAATTCAAGCAGTAATTGGACAATATCAGGTCTGCTTTGAGATATGGCAATATGAAGCAGGGTATCTCCATGTGAATCAACTGAATCAACCAGATTCAAAGCTGGATCACTCTGCTCCAGTACTTCTCTTATATCATCCATGGAACCATCCATCACTAGTTGAACCGAAACGGGTGAGCCAACAAACATGATCTTTATACCACTGTCAACAAACACCTGTTTCTTCTTTGTCGTAAACCAATCATTGGGAACCGCATCGAAAGTCGACATTGAACCCTTGATCGCGGCTCCCGGAACCACCACACTATGTAAAAGGAAAGAATCATCGCTGCGAGGGAACGAATCAGGAAGAAACGAGCCGGTAGGGAGATGATACACAATCTCCACAGTTACTGTCCCGAGTGGTGCTATGATTCCTGAGTGCGGCTTCACTGTGTACCGGCCCTTGTCTGAAGGTTGGAGCCTAAACGCAACCGGCATCGTGAACATAACATTGCGAAGCGTAAGCTCGCCGTAACATTTCTGTCCTGGCTCAACCCTGATAACAACAAGGTTTGAAGGCTCCAAAGAAATAAGCCTGTCCATATATTTGCTTCCAAGGTAAGGTAGGTTAACTTTTTTTTCTTCTTTTTCTGGACTTAAATGAGTTTTTGAAGGTAGGTTTTGAGGGAAAAACAAAACCCAAAGACCATAATAATCCAACGAAGAAGAAGATGAAAGGAAGTGAAGTGATGAAGAAAGTGCGATGGAGTACTTAAAGGGGATACGGATATGGAATGAGAGAGTGCCAAATGGCGGAGTTAAAAACAATGGAAGACTTGTTCTATTCGGCATTCTCTTCTATATATATATATATATATATATTGATTTGGATTCTTATAATGCCACTAAAATCTTAGCAACATCTTTCCAATTAATTATTTACAGGAACAGAGTAGCATTGTTTGATTAAAAGCATCATTTTTAATTATAGGATAAATTACATATTTAGTACCTCAACTATCACTTTTATTTCATTTTTGTCATTCAACTATTACTTTTTTTCAAAATCATATTTAACATTACATTTTGGTTTCATTTTGGTCACCATTTGTTAAAAAATTATAAGAAGTTCTGATGTGGCATGTTTAAAAAAATCAATGATGATGTGGTATTACCTTATGGTGACATGTCAGCATCACCGTTAATCTTTTAACAGTGGGTGACCAAAATAAAACAAAAAACGTAACATCATATATGATTTTGAAACAAAAAATAGTTAGATGATAAAAATGGAATAAAAGTGAAAGCCAAAGTACTAAATTATATTAGAAATAAGCAATAATCGTAGGGAGGCCGCTAGACTTCCAAACTATGTTTTTAAACTCTTTTTTTTTTAATTTGCGAAAAAAATCCAAATCTCCTTAACAATAATAAAATACTTCATTTAAAGAAAGAAAACTTTTTACCTTTTTTTATTTGAACGAAATTATTAATAATTTCGACAGTTTACTAAATTTTTTTTTATAAATAGTTATAAAAAATGACGTTTTAAAGAATAATTCTACAAATTTTAATATGTTCATTTTTTTATAATATGTCGTATTTTCATAATTTTCTCGCTGCTTCAGTTAATTAAACCTAATTTTCTGAGTCATTTTTCCAATAATGTTACAAATTTTAATAATTTAATTATTAATCTTAGCTGTTTGTCATTTATTTTCATTTAATTAATTTTGGTTTTAGGTTCATACCATCGATGCAATATGCAAAGTGACAAAAGCTGGAGTCAAGGAATGAGCATCTGCCGAGAGCAACAATTAAATGTTTTTAATGGTAGGGTAAATTATGGAGTTAATTCTGTTTTAACACTAAACAAAAATTTTATATAAATTATGTCACTAAGTTTTCAATTTGGTTTCAATCAAATAATCTAATGTTAATTGTTAATGAAATTGTTAACATGTTACTTAAGAAAATTTGTGTAATAATAGTTTCACTTTCCTGACTTTATGTATTCTATCATTTTTGTCCTAATCCGGTAAACTTCAATAAACTTAACCCTTAATAAAAAATTATTAATTTAATCTTATTACTTACATATTTTATCAATTCAGTTCTATTTTTTAAAAAAAAATCAATTAATTTAACCCTTTATATTTAAGAAACCTATCAATTTAGTCCACAAACAAATTTTCACCACTAAACAATATCATGGTTCAACAACACTAGTCCTTGTACTTCACTCTCAACTTCCATTGCCTCCATATCAACTTATCGAACCTTCAACATCGATAAGCTTCATCGCTCAAACTAAATATCACTTCAGTCCACATACTATTGCTATCATCATTCAATAGAATGTGTAAGCAATGAGGATCGAATATGTTTTTATACAATTTTTTAGTTGATACATCAATAATTTCGTTAACAGTTAATTGTTGGTGACTAGATTGAAACTAAATTGAAATTTCAATATCCTAATTTATAATTTTTTTAGTAGTCAAAATAGAATTGACCTTATAGTTTAGAGTCTCTAAAGATAATTTACCCTTTGTTATAGGCAAAATGCAAAAATTAGTCCCCCAACATTTGCCAAAACAATTATTTTAGCTCCTATTCTTTTTTTTTTTGAACTTTTTGACTCCAACGTGTTATTTTAGTACAAAAAAACCTTAATGTTTAATTAAAGAGTCATTTTGACCTTTATTCTACACAGTATATATATATATATATAAACGTAAAACGATAATACATCAATAATAGTATTAGATATTTACAGACATTAAATTAAATTTTTATATTTATAATTACATAAAATTAAATTTTATATATCATATTATATATAGTATACCAAAATTTATGTAGTTTTAATAATTATATCTTTAATCATTGAATTAATTTTGATTTATGAAAATATGACTTTCAATTGGCATCGATTGACGTCCAAATCCGTATGCAAAGCAAGTACAATGTATATATAGTTAAAATTGAATTTGTTAATGATTAATTATAGCAGATTGATTTGTATATGCAGACAACATTCCATTAAAAAATCAAATTACTAAAATTGAATTGGTCCTGGCTAATACATTGAATTTGTTAATGATTAACTATAGCAGATTGCTTTGTATATGCAGACAACATTCCACTAAAAAAATCAAATTACTAAAGGAGAATTCCAGACAACTTTCTTGTGAAAAGGATTGGGATGAGAATCTTTGGGTATGAAAAATAAATAATAATTCTAATACAGATTTGGTCATGGACATAGATTTGATAAATTCAATTCCAATGGATCCAATTCATTTTTTATTCATATTGAAATATACAAATAACATATGAAAATTTGTTGGTATGTGAGAAAAGTACAAGTACAAATATTACAAAAGGAAAAGTATCATCAAAGCATGGTTTTATTAATCAATGTCTACAAACTTTGTGTGTGTATTTTTTAAAATAATTTAACAGTTATGTATGTAGCTGCTTGAACTTGTAATCTAGAGAATAATATTCTATTCTACTATTAAAATCGTTTTTACTATCGAATTTTCTTTTACCCTTAATATAGTTCTAGAAATGAAATCAAAATTTTAGTGAAGGGTGAAAATAACGTGAGTTATTTTTCGAAGTCACTTTTTGAACAAAATGAAAAATATGAGATAATAAAGTCTAATTCTTCATTTGTATAAAATCCTCTTTTTAATTTTAGTCGGGTCTTACGTTTCTGTCTATATGCAGAGATTATTATGCAGGGATTTATTAGCAGGGATTACTTCCCATTACAGAAGCGCATATGAAGACTGTATATGAAGACTGTTCAAATATGTATTTATTTATTTATTTATTTATACATGCATTGCATTTTATCTTTATTTTTAATTTTCTGACTGTCGGAGGTCTTCCACGGAAGCTGCTCTCAACCATGCGTTGGGGGCAGCATACTACCTTACCTCCCGTTACCCCATTGCATATGAGAATAGTGCTTTGCTGTTGTTGTCTTCATTTGTATAAAAATATTGAAAAATATTTTTTAAAATTATTTATTATTATTATTTTAAGTTTATTATTATATTAAAAATAAGGGTAAGCAATTTAACAAAAAAAGTAAGTTACACGTTTAGTACGTAAATTATTATTTTTGTTTTATTACAGTAATAAACTTTATTTTTTTTCAAAATCATTCCCAACGTTTAATTTATGTTTTATTATAATTATATTTAAATTTAAATATTTATATATATAAAATAATAATTTTACTTTAAGTATCCAATCCATCCACTATTACAATAATTAATCACATTATTCTTTCCTTTAAAACCTCTTCTTCTGAAAAGCTATGCATTTGTTCCACTAAAATCAATATACAAATAAGTCCAAATATATCATAGGATAAACTACATAATTGATTAATCTTTTTTTAAGTTTTGTATATTTTCTCTCATTAAGTTAAAATAATTATAATATTTGATCAATTTTGTTTTTATTTAATTAAGATATGACCAATAAAGGTTAACTGTTGTTAGATTTTTTATGTATTGTTTACGTGACACAGTAAATATATTAAAAAGGTAAAGTACACAAATGATCACTAATATTTGAATAAGTTTTTGTTTTCTCCACTAAAGTTTTAGAAGTAACAAATTAATCGAGATCATTTTACGATATATATCCGATAACGATTTCAACCAATACAGAATCCCACCTGCACAAAAGAAAACAATGGAAGCATTGCCAATTGATATCAAAGACAATAATACTTTTGTTATGAACAGATTATTGTACTACATTCCTTTAATTGCAGAGATCTTCCATCGAACATATACTCTCTTTCTCTCCATCAATAGGAACTTAAAGCTATAACTTTCGCTTGAATGTCATCTCTAAAAAATTTAATCAGAGAGCACTTTTCATTTAAAGTAATGATTTCTATTTGCCATTCTGCTTTAGAACAATATATGGAACTTTGAGCCATATAAAAATGAAAAATTAAATAAAAGTATACAAAATTTAAATAAAATGATCAGTCATGTAAGTTTATTTTATATTATATATAAATTTAATGAAAAAACAAGTGTTCAAAGAAAATTTCTTTAAATATTCAAAGATAATTTAAGGTATAAGTTAAAAATACTTAATCTTATATTAAACCTTATATATTGTTGGCATGTGTAAGTATGCATGAACATCAAGTATATCCACCAGGTGTTTGCATGAAACATCCAACGTGGCAGCCTTGTAAAACCCCACATCGTTTTTTTGTTTTATTTTACCTTGTCCATCGATTTATATACGGAAGATTAATTCAAAATCCATACGCATTTTCTTTCCTTATCCTCAAAGTAAAATAGACGTTGAAGTATTGAATTTGAGGGGCGATCGATGATGGAGAGGAAGCATCTTTCTTGCATTGCCAGCCATGTTCTTCGAACAACTGCAGAGTATAATTATATCTCCCTCTCTTTCTGTTACTTAATTAATGACTTCATTTCCGGTTTGGTCTTTCTAGTCTTATACTTGACGTGTAAAAGGTTGAGCTTCCTAATCTAACTTGTAAGAGGGGCGGGCTTTCGATCGAGTTGACGAGTACTAGTTTATAATTCATTATAAACTTTATTTGAAATTTCCTTGGATTTTCGAGTAATCTATGTGCTACATTAATCCAGGGAACTAGGTACTTGTGTGGATCATTTGGTAGAAGAATTTGAAGCTGGATGGAACGCTGAAGTCGGCGATTATTCGAGGAAATTGATAGAATTTTGCAGCTCGGAGGCC